CCCCCGCCCCGCCGTTAGCGGTCGCCTCTTCTTGCCCGGTGCCCGCGCCCGGCGCAGTCCGCCTCCGGCCGGCCCCCCCGCACCCCGCGCAGGCAGCGCCAGCCTCGGGTCAGGATGGACCGGCCGGGAAGAGTACGGCGACCCCCGGCCCAGAGCCCCCGCCAGCCGCGCTGCGCGTAGTGGGAGCTGGTGCGTAGTAGGCTCCGAGGCGTTTCCGGAGAATCGCTTTTCTGGTCGCGGGAAGGTAGGGCACCTAAGGGGAAGGGGTCGTTCCCGGCTAGTGGGAGGGCATTCGAGATTCGGTGGATGGGGGAGGGGGGTGACGGGGCTTCTGGTGCAGGCAGAGGGGCACCCGCCAAGAGACTTGGGGCTCTGAGGCTTGCATGTGGGGGTTTCTCAAGGTCGAGGAGAAAAAGGTCCAGCGCAGGATGAGGTCCAGTGCAGGATGAGGGAGGGCAGCCGGGAGCATGCCTGGCAACATGACTGGGGCTCCTCGGGGGCTTTAACCCGAGGTGCTGAGGAAAGGATGTGGAGGCGGGCTCTCGGAGCCCCGCTGCGACTCCTTGGGCGTCTAAGATTCTTAGGTCATCTGGCTTTGGGCACCGGACTAGCTGAAGCGAAGAGACTTTGTGTAGAGGGAGTTGCATTTAAAGGATGCTAAGAAACAGTGTAAGTATATCACGGTTTGGTCCTGAACTTTGAAAGGCTTGAGGAATCGGAATCACGAAAAGGTCTTGACATTTTCTTTTGGAATTCCAGCCAAAAGGTGGCAAGCTGATTGGACTTTGCCAATGATCCCCTATTTAAAATTGTATGTGTTTTGCAAATTGTATTGCATTTTGCCAGTTGATAATTGTGCTGGGAATTCTTGTAACTATACCTTAGAATTCTTGTAGCAGCCTCTCCGTCATAGTGGTGGTTTACTTCTCAAGGCTGGGCTGTACTATTGTAATTTATTATTTTTCTATGAATTAACAGATCTACGCTTTCTCTTTTTCTTTAAGCAAGATCATGCAAAATTGAACTAGTGTTTTATAGAAGTTTTAAAATATTTTAACTTTTAAGCATAGAACCAGGAAGGAAATGTTAGTAGGCCAGTATCTCTAGAAAGTAATACCAAAAAATCAGCTTGAGTGTCTAGCAGTTGGGAATCTTATGTCAAATGCATAATTTAATTTAAATCTTACATTTACATAACCCTTTTGAGAATGAGTTAGAACAGAAACAAGGCACACCAAGATTAGCTACCAATAGTGGCTGTCCACAGAATCCACTTTTGTGGCAGTCCATGAAGTATTTTCATTTTACTGAAGAGTATGCTAAGAATTAGTTATATCTTTCATCTTTTAAATATTTTATTGGTCTTGTATGTTACTAATTCCTTACATTTGCCAAGGATTCCACAGTTTATGAAATGAAAGCTTGTTTGATTAAGGAGTACTCAGGCATAGTTTAGAAAAATTCCTAGATCATGCTTTGCCCATTAATTCATTGGCCAGAGAAAACGTTTCTGCAAAAAGGTCCTGATGTGTTCAGCTGGTCTTTTTAGTCCTTGAGTAATTACATTTTTTCTCTCTGCTGTCCTTGAATTTTACTATTTGTCCTTAAAAGAATGTACTGGAATACAAAACAGTTGCCTAAGATACTGGAAACCTAACACCTTTTAACATTGTAATGGCTTCTCCATTACTCACCTTGAGAATCATCTGTGACAAGCCAGCTGTTGGGATGGCTTTCACTTCTCACCTTGTTACTTTGTACTCTTTCCTCCTGTTATAGAACTAAAGAAAAATAAAGCCTACTGGCTGTAAAGTAATGGTATTAAACAGAATGAGAATGGGAAGCTTGGAAAAAGATACATGTGCATGAGTCACATTTCTTTTAGTGCTAGAAGAGTCGGCCTTGGAGATGGTTAATCAATGCTAGTTGATTTTCTGTTTTGCAGACCAGAAAACCAAGGCCCAGAGTCCTGTAGTTGAGGGGACTACAGTGTTGTTTAATGCTGGAGGCAGGATGGTGGGCACATGCTCTGGACTCCAGTCCAGGGTTTTTCCTGTTTTATCACACTCACATTGTTAATTTCTAAACCGTGCATGCTAGTGCCTAAGGATGAATGGTTTTTAGATTGCGATGTTCCCTTCTAAGGATGGAGAAGGTTAAGTACATTTATACAGGAAATGATGTAAAAACCTTTATATAAAGTTTAAAACAGTATGTATGCCATGTTGTTAGTGGAAATGCTGGTAGCTCTCCCATTGGAGACAAACTATCATGTAGATTAAGATATTAGGTAAGTATAAGGCTAGCATTTTATGATTTTTATGTTTTAAGTATTGCTTTAAAGATTTTCATAACTCAAAAGGACTTACACTTTTAGTAGTGAATTACATAAAAGTTATTTCGAGTGGGGATTTTGTTATGTTAAAAAGGATTTTAGTACCTTTTGAAGAGAGCAGTAGTAGACATGGTAATTATGAAAACATAATCCATCATAATTGTGTTAGAGAAAGAGGATTTCTATTTCAGGCACTTAACATGAATTTGAAGCAAGTGCTTTAGCCACTGTGTCTCTAGGCTTCCTCATCTGTAGTGTGGTTATTGAAAACACCTGCCTCCTAGTATCGTGCTGAAGGTTAACTGTGTTCAGCACATAATGAGGCACGACAAACGCTGGAAATTATTTCCTGTGGTTCATTATATATAAGTAGGCCCTTAACGGTCATTAGTTTCCTTGCTGCTAAGACTGTAACTTTTAGGTTACAAAAGGTGTTCCTAGAAAAATGGGCATGGTGGGCGGGCCAGGTAGCTCAGCAGACTAAAGCCCCTGCTTAGGCAGAGCACAGGGACCAGGGTTTGATCCCTGGTACCACAAGCTGTGCCAGCCCTGCCCCCAGGGCACTCTGAGACATGGCTATTGAGCCTGGGTAAGGTGGGTCGTGCCTGTAATCCCAGCGCTTGGGAGGCTGAAAACAGAAGGACCACTACAAGTCCAATCTCCATAGTGAGACCCTGTAGACCCTGTACTAAATACATAAAAAAAAGAAAAAAAAAATGAGCATGGTGGTGAACCCCTGCAATTCCAGTACTCTGGGAAGCTGAGGCAGGAGGATTGTAAGTTTGAGGCCTGCCTGCATAACTTAGCAAGACTCTATCTCAAAATAAAAAATAGAACAGGGCTGGGGACAAACTCAGTGCAGAGGCCCTGAGTGCAAACTCCAGTACTCCTACCCCTAGTTCCTAGACAAATTCCTCCTCAGATAATTGTCTGCCTTCGGGGCACTTAGCACAACTGATGCTATCTTTTGCTCTCTGGACCTCAGGTCTGCAGATAAGTTAGATGTAGTATTTCTGGTTTTTCTGAATATTGTGGGAAATATACCACCCTTAAATGTACCTCTTTGGCATATTTCCAGATGGCTATTCAGAGTGGTGGGGAACACAGGGATAGTTCTAAAAATCTGCCCTTTTGTGGAGGATAGTTCAGTCTGCAGATAAAAATCTGTATTAGTGAAATTCATTTTCTTTACCTGGATCTAAAAAACATCACAGATACTTCTTTCTGCAGATTGCCACAGAATGTCACATATTTTACTGAGGCTTTTACCTGAGAAAGTTTATCTGCAATGAATGTGATTCCCACCCCCCACCCCACCCCCCATTTCTAAGTCCTTGTCTTTTCTGTAGCTCAGAGAGCTGTTTAACTCCCCCACCCCTTTCATGGTGCTGGACGTGGAACCCAGGGCTTTGTGCATACTGGATAAGTGCTTTCTTACTGTGCTACACCACCAGCCTGTCCCTTTTTGAGTCTCATATTCTGCATGGCACCTGTGTGCGTCCACATGATAAATTTGCCTTTTTTCTTGTTAATCTATTTTATGTTAATTTTATAGATTAAAATATGAAACTTTGAGGAGAGGGAAATTTCTTTCCTCTTTGTATGTCATTGAAGACTCTATTGCAGTTTTATTTTAGAATGAAAATGCTAGTTGATTTGAAGATACTTTAGTTAAAATTCATTGTGCCTGCGAACCCCACTCCCACGGCACACTGATCTTTGAGACTGGGAGTAGTGGTGCGCCCTTCTAATCCCAGCGTTTGGGAGGCTGAAAACAGAAGGATCACTGTAGACCCTGTATTAAATACAAAAGAAAAAATAAAAATTGAGTTTTAGAGGCCTGCTAATTTAGGTAAGGAAATCAAAAATTCATGATGCCTATTATTGATTGCGAATCATTTCTGCCAGTGGAACCTTGAGAAAATCACTGAATATTTTTATTTTTTCTTTTGAGACACGGTCTCTGTAGTCCAGGCTGACTTTGAACTCATTATATACCCTAGGCTGACCTTGAACTCAGCAGTCCTGCCTCAGCCTCCCAAGTGCTGGGATTATAGGGGTGTGGCACCACGCCTGGCTTGAATCTTGTTTTCTAGTGAGTGACTGTTACAGAGTATATACATTAAAATTCTTAGTTTTTATTGGTAAAAATTCGTGCAACTCCAGTATAACAAAGTTCTGTATCCTATAAGACCTTACCTTTTTTTGACTTTTTTAATAGCAGTTTTTTTTTAAAAAATGTATCCCACTATCTTTTTTAAAATTTATTTTTAATTTTACTTTATTTTTTTGTGGAACCGGGGATTGATCTCAGATCCTTGTGCTTGCCAGAGAAGCACTTACTCTACTGAGCCATCTCCCCGGCCCCTCACTGTCTTTTGATAGGCCTTAAGTCCATTTTACACTTAAAGGATTAAAACAGAAACAAGTTGTAGCTCTAAACCATACTTCTTATGTTAGTAGCAGAGTTTCACTAGTTTAGATGTCAGGCATGCGTGCCACTGGTGGTACTTAACACAGCAGTAAATGGGTCAGCTCAGTCCAAGGTGATGGCAAACAGTGTCACTGCCAGCAGAGGTCTTTACCTCCTGCTGTCCCCCAGACACCCAGGAGGCAAGGTAAGAAGGGAGACTTCATTCAGGGCTAGCTCTGAGATGCCACGGATGACTGTCTTGCTGTGCCCAGGTATGCAGGGCCTTTTATAAAAGCAACAGAGGAGAGAGGGAGTACAAGAAGACAGTGGGCAACTCCGGGCTTGTTTCATCCTTCTCTCCTTCCCTCCTAGGAGGGAAGACCTGACTCTTGGGGCCAGCATCTTTTATCCATTGCTCCAGACGGGGGAGTGCAGAGGGCCAATCCCTGTAGACCAGGAAAAATCTGGAACCCTAGAGTCTAAAGAAAAAAATTTA